TGCAGTGGTGGTCTTCCCAGTACACTGATGAACTGGGGCAAGTCTTGTAGAGGGCAGCTGGGGTGCCCAGGATACTGAGGGTTGGGCTGGCTTTGGGTGGAGAAGCAGTTGCTGAGAGGCAGAGGGGATCCAATGGCTTGGATTGGATCCAAGTTGTTTTAAAGCAAATTCAATTTAGGTGTAAGGCAAAACACCTTCATCATGAGGGTACTCAAACACTGGCACACATGGCTGGGTGAAACCCTGAGCCATGTATCATAGCTCTGATGTTGACTGGCCTGGAGCAGGTGACTGGCCTGGTGGTCTGCAGGTGTCCTTGCCAACCCAGATTACTCTGAAATGGGATTAATTGAATCTAAACACTTGTCATCTGATATTGTATCTGGAAAACTGGAGAAGAGCAGCACCAGAAGCAAAGGCTGTCTTGTGTGCAACTTGCTGCGTACCAGATATGCTCCCCAGCCAGCCAGTCCACAGCCTGGGTTCTTTCAAGGTTTTATTCTGTCTCATGGACATGACTTTCCCCTTGCCTTTGGCTTTTTCCCTTTGATAAAACCTTTAAAAGGCCTTATTTTAGGTTGAAGTACAACAGGATCTTATCAAAGCCTAGTCTAAAGTCTTAGGGCTGCCTGATGACAAGCTAACATTAAAGCCCTTGATTTTCTGGGCTCATTTATTTTATCAGACCTAGCACAGCACATCTCTCAAGGAGGCTTGTGGCAGAACAGACTGGAGAAGTGTGTTCTATTGGCTTTACTTTGGTTTTATTGCATGAATAGCTTACCTGCAGAGATTGTTTCTTCAAAGGTTGGCTCCATATTAAAGACTGAATAACAAGAAATGGGAAAAGGAATTTCTTCACAAATACATGTTTTCAGTTGATCATATCACATAATTATATATCCCAAACCAAGACCACACTTGATTTTTTCATGACATGCAATAAGTTATTGGGAATTCTCACTAGCGGTTTCCAGAGCTAGCAATGGACTTGTGTTGCATTTGGGGCTTTCACATCTTCTTGGRGTCTAGTTACAACAGAGAGTCAAACAAGTGGAGGATTAAAATTTTCTGTAGATTTTGGATAACTTTGTTGAGTGCTTGTTATTTTAAGCAGTTCCAATAGTAATAAAATAAGAGCCTGTTTTTCCGCTGTAGCTTATTTACACTGAAAAGGATGAGAGCATGGTTCTCTATCTCTCAAATGGAAAACAGATCTTGAGTGCAGCTCACTTTAGAGAGGAGCTTGGCCAAATCTTCCCTCAGATTTGTGCAAAGCCAGTGGGAATCCACCACTCACAGTCAAAGAAAGGAATTGATCTCCAACTTTTAAAAACAGCTATTATATTTGAAGAATGAATTTTTATTAATTTCTTCAATTTCCATATTAACCAGTGATTATCCCCTTCAGTATCTGAAATTAYATGGCTTTGGACAGAAGGAGATAGTTCCTAATTTCCCTTGGCAGAATTCCATTGACAGAAACAAAGTTACACTTACATAAGCATGCATTAAAGAGTATTTAATGCAAATATCTCATGTACAGCAGTAATAGCTGCACTCAAGAGTCAGTCAGTGAGGCAAAGAGCAAAACCATTTGTGGGGGGCTCCCACCTAGACCCAAACATCTCCTATGATACAGCATAAAAAAAAGACCTCATCCTTCATCTCCATGCTGGACTTCCTGGCTGCATGCGAGCACCAGCCTGTCTTGGTTTGCCAGCTTGGTGAGGGCTGGGCGTTGKCACAGCTCAGAGCTGTTTTCATCTTCCCTTATGAGAAAAACATGAGCAACACTCACTGAGCAGCCAGGATTGCAATCYATACAAAACCCCATGATGGCATCCTCATGACACTCTTAACCTTCATATTCTGCAGCTTTTTACTTGGACACCTGCCGATCCTATGGAGAATGCTGAGGAAACAGGAGTTTACACCGGATCTCTTCCTGGAGTGGTGAGTTGAGGCACACCAATAACAGTGAATGGGGCAGTCCTGTAGCACAAATGGAAAAATCAAGGTGCAGAGACCCTGAATTACATAATTAGCATCATTCAGAAGGTTGGTAAAGGAACTAGAGGGATAGCACTGGTCTTTCAGATCAGATTAAATACTAGGAAAAACATTTTCACTGAAAGAACAATTAGCCATTGCAATAAGCTCCCCAGGATGGTGGTAGAATGGGGTGATTATGATGGTTGGACCAGATGATCTTGAAGATCTTTTCCAACCCTGATGATTCCATACTTTTGTGATTCTCTTAGTTTGCTGGGAACTGCAGTGTTTCCCATTGCAATGTGCACTGGTCTTTCAAGGTTATTAGGTCTGAACTGTTGCGTATCGGTAGCTTGTRCCATAATTCTCTTTTTTAAAATCTTCTCTTGTTGCAGGGCAGAGAAATATGGACCTGTTGTACGTTTTAATGCCTTTCACAGAGTCTCACTATTGATTACAAGCCCTGAAGGAGTGAAGGTACTGAAATATAAAGCCAAATCAAGTGGGGATCAGCCCATCCCTCCATAAAGAGAGAGCTGGTGCCTTAYGATCAGAGCAGCACAGAGCAGCCAGTCTGTGCTTGGCTCTGGCTGGGTTAGGAGAATGAGCTTCTTTGCTCTCTGAGCTGTCATGATTTATTTTTTAATTTGATCAATTAATTTACTTTGTTTCTTTTATTTAAACAGCACATACAGCAAACATTTACTACTTGTGAAAAGCAGGTTCTCTACAAGAGCTTAATATCTCAAATGAAATAGGCACAAGAGACTAAATTTCTTTCTCTAAATCTTTACAATTACAACAGAGTGAGATTTCAGGTCACTGGGCAAAGAAGTGCTAGAGGCATGCTAAGCAAGCTTGCAGCACAGGAACTGGGGAACCAGGGCACACCAAATAATTCATCTAGCCTTCAGACTATTGCTGTAGAAGGAAGAGAGTAAATGCGTGAGTGAAATCTTGTGTTGTGGGAAACGGATTGCACGCGGTATTCACTGACCCGAGGTTTGATTTTAGGAGTTCCTGATGTCACCGCAGTACCCAAAGGACCCAATGGTGTATGGTACTCTCTTCAGCCTATTTGGTGAGAGGTAGGCAAAACCCCTCTGAAGCCACTGTGATCTGAAAATAAGTGCAAGATTAATAACATTGCAGGCATGACATATTTTGACTCAGACTGTTTGCCTTAGTGTGGGGATTAATGTGTAATTCCAAACCTATGTAAGCAGTATGTAGCTATTAAATTATGTGTCAGGTCAAATGTCTTCCCAGTCAGGGAGGAGGATATGTTGGATTTTGTTTGACCTTGATCATGTATCGTTTTTCCCCACCTGTAGATGTTCAGTTAGTCTCAGAGCAGGCAGCTCAAGACCATCATTRAACTGATTTTAGAGCACTTCATAAGGCAGTTTGCAGCTTCTAAATTCAATTCTACAAAAAAGGAGAGTTTTGCTTTGTTAGTCTGGAGCTTTTAAAAATATAATTATCCAGTTATTTTATTAATTATTTGCATAACAGCTGTAATGGACCAACATCTTAGTGGACTCAGCAGTCCACACCTACCTGGCAAAAAAATATCTGTGGTCAGTTGTTGTCCACAGTGATGCAATGGTTGCATACTCAGTGGTGCTCCCTAGACATGGGAAAAATGAAAGAAAGTAGATGCAAAAGACTTGCATTTGTGACTACACGGGGTACAGCTGGCTCCCTTGCAYAAAACTATTCCTCTTCTTGTTTTTCTGTGTGCTAGGTTCCTAGGGAATGGCTTGGTAACCGTTTGCAACCATGAGCATTGGCACAAGCAGCGGAGGATAATGGATCCAGCTTTCAGCCGAAGGTAAGGCAAATATTTCTGGGATGACCTAGCTGTTATTTCTACTGTACTTTCATTATTGTCCCTGCCATTATTTGATATTTAGGTGAAAAAACCGCTCCATTTAGTGCTAAAATCACATTTTAGTTGAGTCCAGCGCACCATTTCCATGCCAAATATATTTGGACCAGACTTCCCATGGAACAGTGACAACCCTACGATCTCAGCAGTGGCAGAAAGTCCCAAGGTTGTGTATTCCAGGGCATGGTTTTGGCTGCCTTATCCTRTTGGAAAAGATAAGGCACAGGGTTGGACTGGTTTTCTTGTGTGCCTCGATGTGTTTTATATCAGTTCCAAAGACAAAGTCCTTATGCCTTGACAGGCACAGGGCACAGCCCTTTTGTTTGACAGACATTAATCATATGGCAAGGCTGAGCAGGGCTTCTGTGAGAAGAATGTGGCTCATTTTATCTGTTTGCTTTTTAATGTATTAAGGCAAATTAATTATAAACTTTTAAAAACTTTACAATTTTCTATGGCAAATAACAAAGGTTATTTTGCCTGAGAAAAGATGTCCTCTCCAAAGCCCCAATTACTCATCTTTATTGATTGTTCAGCTACCTGATTGGTCTGATGGATACTTTTAATGAAAAAGCAGAGGAGCTGATGGAGAAGCTAGAGGAAAAGGCAGATGGAAAAACAGAATTTAGCATGCTGTCGATGATGAGCCGGGTGACTATGGATATCATTGGAAAGGTACCAGCTGTCCCTTTCTTGTTTCCTSTGCAACTGGCAGGCAGGAATGGAAGTAACGCCTACCAGCAGCAGCATGGGATCAGGAGCTGGAGGCAAGGAAAATACATTCACCCAGCACTGCCAGAAGACCTGGAGAACTAATTGTGCCACTTCCATTTGGGCAGAGCCATGGGAAGGGGCAGTTGGGAAAGGGTCTGCTTAGTCAAGGTGTGGCCTGCAGGATGGGGACCCTTTGCCAAAGTCCTTTCAGTCTCATACCTCCCACCTATCCATGCCAAAAGGGACACACCAGGGCTCTTTCATGGGTGGAGCTTGTATTGTTACCATTWTATGTCTGAATGAATTCTGCCTTATGCTGCCTTTTCCCTTTCTATGCAAACCAGTTTAGGATGAGTGGAGAGTAGCAGTAAATTATTAACCCACCCAAATAAGGAGATAACAATGCAGATACTGCCCTCCCCTCACAGCCCCCTGCAAGGCAGGATCTAGCCTGAGATATTTCTTAGGGGAAAAGGTGGCAGTGTCAGGCTATGCTGCTCTTTCACCCCTGCTCCAGCAAGTTGCCTTTTTCTCTCCTGCTCCTCAGGTAGCCTTTGGCCTGGAATTAAATGCACTGACTGATGACCAGACGCCTTTACCAAACGCTGTGACAAAGGTTTTGGAGGGTCTGACCCAGGCACGCCTCCCCTTCATACGGGTCTGTACTCTCCTCACTTCAGTYCTCTCTCCTCACATCCAGCTGCTCCTGCTTCAGTTCATGGGCTGGAGCTGTGCAAGGTCCATAGATGTTGGGGAAACAGTCAACTGCAGATCTTTCCCTCCGATGTGCATCAAGATAAAATTCATTAGTGCTTTAAAACATTTGCAAAATTAACATTATTATTACATGCTTCTTTTTTATCTTCCCCTCTGCATATGTTTCCTTCTAGTATGGTTTTATTGCCATTTGTCCAAGAAGGATGGCAGCCTTCACTCAGGGTGGAAGAAATTTGAACATTCTTGCCACAAAATATTTACATTTTCAACCCAAATTCATCTACTAGGAAATTGTGGACATAATATTAACTCTTTAAGTAAAAAATCATTCCAGTGTTGCATGAAAGCTGTGGTTCAGGCTTTTAGAGCTCCTGTTTTCCTTTTTGAGACCAGGAATGAGATTCTGCATTGTATGCTGCAGTTCCATTCCGTGAAGAAGTGAGGAATTTTGCCCACGGTGCTCAAAACATCAGCTCTGACAAGACATGACATCAGCATGCACTGCCTGAAATATTTCTTATTTCAACCCAAACCCTTCATCYTGTGGGCATTCAGTTTGTTCCATGGAGACCAAATGTTTTTGTGACAAGTGTCATTTAGCGGAAAACAATGTGCTCACTTGTAAAATAACACTGATGTTATTTTTTACCAGCAAAAGGAATAAAATTACTCAAGAAATTCTGTATTCAGTACATGCCAGGGCATCAGAAGCTGGTAAARGAGGCCAAGGAGAGTGTGAGGCTGTTGCGGCGTGTGGGGAAGGAGTGCCTTGACCGGAGGAGAGAAGCCATGCAGAATGGGAAAGAAGCCACACTGGATATTCTTACACAGATACTGAAAGGAGTTGGTAAGGGTCACATTCCTGTTCGGRTGAATTTCTTTGTGGCATGTTTTGCCATGAAATTCAGGGAGCATTGTTTCGGGGAGCTGAACTTGGAACCCGCTTTAAAGTTGTTTTCACACTGAAGATAGTGAAAGTTGCTTTTAAAATGCCCTGTTTCTTTATGTTGGATCAAATACTGGTCACAAGTCACTACTGAAATGTGCATTCAGCATCCCCTCTTGGTATGTGCCAATATGTGCCAAACAGGACTGAGCATTCTGTCTGGTCCAGCTAGGGCACTGAGGCATTTTCTAATCCCATTTGTTTTTCTATCCTGACAGCTCTGGAAGAAACTAGAGATGATGAAAACATTCTGGATAACTTTATCACTTTCTTTGTGGCAGGTTGGTAGCTTTTTTAATGCTTGGAAATCATGTSGGAAGGTGTTCTCATTCTTGAGCTGTCTGCAAGGTCATGAATAACGTCCTCATTAATCATAATTAACATCATGATTAACATCATYACTCCATGTGACGCTGCTGTAACCAGGAGTCTCTTGGTTAGAAGACAGCAGTGTTGCACTGGCATAGGACCAGCTGGGTGAGGTCTGAATAGAACTCTTTAATTTTCTCATAGACAAATGATACATTGTCTGCTTTCAGTGATACTAACACAGCARATAATGCCAGGCCAGTGTTTTCCAGCCACTGTCTTCCCACTCTGTTTTCCAGCCTCTGTCTTTCCACTGCCCACTGAGGTGCAAGGCTACTCCTTGTGGGATTCTGGCCCTTCCTCCCTGCTAAAACCCACCAAAAACATCTTTTACATACTCCATGTCTTTGCATTACCTCACCAACATTTTTAAATACCATTCTTGCCTAAAGAATGTTACTCAGCACTTGTAGGAGAAGGCACTGTCACGCCTATCTGAAAAAGTATGGGCTGAGTTAATATTTGAGATAAACATTTTGCAAATCAAGAGAATTTAGATTCATAAGAAGGTGAGGTCAAAATGCTGTTCTTTGGCAAGAAATATGTTATTGCAGCAGACATCTTTGCAAAAGTCTTTTTTCTGTAATGCTTGGAAATAGTACATGTGCCTATCTGTGGAAAAGAGGGAAACATATCCACATCACAAAATGGGTAGGGTCAGAAGGTTCTTCTCATCCAACCTCCYTGCTCAAGCATTCTAACATGTAAAGCAGACCTTTCAAAGAAAGATGGTAAGAAGCTCTGTTTTCCCTCAAAACCAGTAAATCCTTCCATTTGGCAGARCTGTGTGTCCCATAAGACAAATACCGGACCTCACTGTCCCTCCTATTGGGAGTTCATAACCAGTAAGTGCTGCATGCAACCACTGCAGCTTTGACTTGGCCAAGATGGGTCATAAGTTTTCCTGTCCTTTTCTTGTCATTCTTGAAATCCCCTTATGTAGACTTTAAACCCCTTTTATTATTTCTTTTGATTTCTAGCATACTTGAAATAAAACATTGATGTTTAAAGTCTCTTATTCACATTCACTCTCGTAGACCATTTTTGCGTCGTGTTATTATTTCATACTAACCTTTTAACTGTTTTTTGCTATCATTAGGTCATGAAACCAGTGCCAATCAGATGACATTTACAGTAATGGCACTGGGTCAGCATCCTGAAATTCTGGAAAGGTATGTGTGCACTCCATTTTGCAAACCCAGCTTGATGTTAATTTCAGGGTGAATTTAATTGTAAGGATTATTAAAAAGATAAGATCAGGTCCCAATAAATTCCAGCCTCTCTTCCAAAATAAACAGTTTCGTAGTACCAATATATCCAAAATGTTAAAAATAAATAAATAAATAAAWAATTRAGAGGGATTATTTCAGTTTCACCTAGATGACTTTTTTCAAAGCCTTTATACATACTGGTCCCAAATCCCATCTGGATCAGCTGCCCTGTATGCACATTGCCTCATCCTGATATGAGGTACAAGCTCAGGAAGCCTGGTTGGGAATTGTAGGCATTTTGCCTGAGGATGGGTGTTTAAGTCCAGCTCAGTGTCTGGAAAGTAAAATAATGTAATCTGTCAACTTGCCTAGTAAGAAACAAACGTCTGCAGCTGACATGTTTTAATTGAACTGCAGGGCTCAGGCTGAAGTAGATGAGGTTCTTGGTGCCAAGAGAGACGTTGACTATGAGGATCTTGGCAAACTCACCTACTTATCACAGGTACTGTAAAAGTGAGGTAAGATACCAGGCAGAACTGTTTGGTAGCACCTCTGACATGTCATGGAGAAGCCCCAGTCTTTAAAAATTTTAAAAACAATGCCAGKATTTTAACCTGACAGTGTTTGTCCCCAGAGAGTCAGCAAGCAGGTATCCGAACACATTTGCAGCAGCCCAGCCTTCTTAGGAAAGATTCTCCTCAAATTTATGGGATTCCTTCCCTACTTTCCTACCAATCTGGGAGCTAGAATGGAGTTACATAATCCTTACCTGTCTGAAATGAAGCAATAGCTCTAATTTTAAGAAGGGTGTGCAACTTTGAGCCCAACGTGTCTGTGAATCCCACACTTTCCTAATTCGCAGCTCTGTTTTTGTTTGATTATTGTTAAAGCATTTCCAGCTATGATCTCACCATAAAGTGGGATTTCAGGATAGCCAAAAATAATGGCTGGGTTTTCTAATGTCAGCTTTTCATTATTCAGTCTTGAAACCCTCTTCAGTCACTCAGGGGGTGGTGGGGGAAAGAATCTGGTCCTAAAAGAGGTCTTGTGTACAGAAATGCTGGTTGGTAATGAACTGCAAAGCCAGGGTTGGCTATTAGCCAGTGTTTGTGTTGCATTTCCTTTTTCACAAGATGGGGGACATCAGTAGCCCTCAGGAGAGGCTGAAATCACAGTCCTGGCAGCTGTTCTGCTTAAATTGCCATGTGATTTTCATAGTCTGCCACAATCCTTTTTCTTTTAAACTGCCCTGCTGAGGTGAGCAACAGTATTTTGCCATTTGGCATATCCCATCCCACAAATTACTGTGCTTTGATAGCAGATAGATTTCATAGGTCTATTTCTCATATGGAAAAGGCAACTCTATGTGATTAAAGAAATCAGCAGGCTTCCTTAGGCTTCTCCAAACACCTTCACAATTATACCACTCCAATTAGGATGAGGTATCTAAGCCTTTGAGTTTTAAGGCACATCACATGAGAACTTCTCAAAGCAGACCATTTATTTAACYGCACAAGCTTGGATCTGTACAACCAAAATCAGTCACCCTTGGTCAGACCCTGTCCATCACTGGGATATCAGAGACTATGGGACTCCTCTCCTGTTGTTCAGGCAACTCTGAATCCTTTTGTCCAGGTTTCTTTTTCATTAGTCCACTCGTGCATGCACATGTTAATTGCATTTTCAGTGCGATGCTCATGTGCACTGTTAATTAGGTTTCACTTTGATGAAATAAGCTGTTATTACAGCTCACTGACACCAAAAGAAATAGTCTCGTTCCATTTTYTTCTCAACATTCCCTATTCATTTTCCTTTGCCAGGTTGTTTTTTGTCTTTTTGGGGCTCTGACCTGGCTCAGCTCCTCAAGCAGCAGAAGCAGGACAAAGACAGGAGCTGAGAGTGGGAAGGAGGTGGGAGCAATCACCCACTCTCATGGCAGCCAGTGCCCAGAACAGCTCATCAGGGGCAGGAGGCTTCACTCTTACATATTCCCTTTGAGTTTGCTTCCTAATACTTTTTCACTTAGTTGTTGATCTGACTTGAGGTGTTAGATCCGTTCCAGGATCTCTTCTGGGTTTTCCATCTTTTTCTCTATATTTTAAAGCTGTATTTAGGCCTGAAGGAGCTGACTTAGCCATATATTTTGCCCACAGGAGTCCAAAGCAGATACACCAGCATCTGTTTCAAAAGTCAGTCTCCCATTGAGCTTAAGTGAAAGGCCACAGGGAGGTAATTATTTTCATTTCTGCTTCCTGCACTCTATGAACTGACTGACCTCTTGTGCTTTTTGCTGACACAGGTTTTGAAGGAGTCGCTGCGGCTGTACCCGCCTGCCTCGGGGACGCTCCGCCGGGTGCAGAAGGAGCTCACCATCGAAGGCATCAGAATTCCTGCAGACTCCACGGTCCTGGTGAGTCCCATCCACCATCAGCAGCTTTTAGCTGCCYCAGTTAATCCAAATGTAATGGACCTGTGGATGAGTGGGCCAAAATCTCCCCTGAGCATATTTGTACTGGCCTCTCTAAAATTTTGACCAAAACTGTATGAATTAAGACTCTCAGTTGGGACTGGGGAGTGGRAGGCATTTATGGTTTTATACCTCTGACAGCAAAGAGGCATTTTCAGTGTGCTGCTCCTGACTAACAAAAATAAACTCTTTCTTGCCAGCTCAGCACTTATATAATGGGAAGGATGGAAAAGTTTTTCAAGGATCCACTTACTTTCGATCCAGATCGATTCAGCAAAGATGCACCTAAGTGAGCTTCTTTTTACTCTCATGTTATTAAATATGTATTAAGAAACAATTACAGGAAGAGATTTCAAGGGAAAGAAAGGTAGAATAAAACCATATTTTCATTCCAGCATGTGTAACACTAAATCATCCAAATGTAAATAGAGAGCAATAATGCACAGCTTTTGTTCTGAAAGTCTTTGGAACATGTTACCTTACAAAAAAAGGACCAATATTATTTTTATTTAATGTTTCTATTGAGGTCAAAAGTTTGGGCCTAAACAGGTTGAATATTCACCTTAGTATGATACAAGCATTTAATGTGACAGCTCTGGTCCCAGGGTGCTTAAAATGTCTCCATATAAGAGAGGGAAGAAGGGTCTGAGGGACAGAAGGTGCTGTTAAGCCCTAAGGGCAGGCAGCCTAAATCTAGTCAGAGGTCAGGAGTGCAATAGAAGGGACCAGTGACTAAACAGATGCMCAGATCAGCACCAGCTACTTCATGAGTCAGGTGTTTTCTATCAGCCTTGAGTCAGTCTGGTCTCCTGAACCAAATGCCCCCTCACTCACATGGTTCAGAGCTGCCCARAGGAGCAATAATTGGGTGGATTGTGACATCCTCATGACAGGCTGGAGAGCATTGTGTGCTTGACATTCAGCTTTGAAATAAGGCTGGCATGCATCAAAATATCTCCGGCAGCTGAGCCATACAGTAAGCAGAGATGATGAGGAAACATTCTGCAGAGCTGTATTGCTGCTCTGAAGCAAAAAAAGAGTTAACTTGGAGACTGCTTTAACAAGTCAGAAAGGCAAGAGGATATTTAGACCATTTCCTTGCTGCTGTAGTGAAATATTTGCTTRTTTCTTTACAACCAAGTTGTCAGAGTGACAGTTTTGAACATTTTTCTTTGCAGGCCATATTATTGTTATTTTCCATTCTCCCTGGGACCCCGATCCTGCATCGGGCAGGTGTTTGCACAGGTGAGTAGAAGGCTGGAGCAACGCTTCATTAGCAAGCACTGGACCAGCTCAGGGGTGTGCTGGCCATGGCAGGATGGGGACCAGAGACCACACTGATGCCCTGTGCATTGACCCTCTTCAGAGGGAAGATCTCCCCCCATGCCCATGCAAGGCATGCTGCTCAAATGCTATCACATGAGCAGGCATCCATGCAACCAAGGTGTCTGCAGGGAGGAGCAGCAGGCTGCATTCCCTCCAAACTGGGTCTGCCTGCTGGAATCCCAACCCCATTGTGATTGCCACCGTAATAGCAATCACAGTCAACATCCCTTTGCCACTTGAAGTCAAGCACCCAGGGRATGTGCAGGGGGTCTTGGGGATCATCCCGGGGCTGCCACTGGTGGAATCGAGGCAGGGAGAACATCAGCCAGAGAAGGGCACAAGCCAGAGAAGCTGAGGAAGGGGCTACATGGACAGAAGGAGCTGGCAGAGAGAGTTTCAGGACAGCCAGAAAGTCAGCACTTTGGGTCTGTGCTGTGAGTTCATCTAAGCACAAGCGCTCAGAGTCTTCAGTTTTACAGTCTCATTTCCAAAATGGGGTTAAGGCACAAGGACTTAGTGCCTGTCAGTTGTCTTCAAATCCAGGAAGTCCCAGGCTTCCTGCCTAAACCCAAATGGCTGTATTAACAGAGTAACATTTCACTTTTAAATCTCTATATTGACAAAGCAGTATAAGACAGCAGACKGACTTTGAGCAGCTGCAGTCCAAGCTGTATTTGCTGTCACTAACAATGAGTTTGCTTTTCTTCTTCTTAACAGATGGAGGTAAAAGTGGTGATGGCAAAGCTGCTGCAGAGGTTTGAATTCCAGCTGGTGCCGGGACAGAGTTTTAAACTCGTGGAGGCTGGAACCTTTAGGCCACTAGATGGAGTAATCTGTAAATTAAAGCCAAGGAGTTCTGCAAGAAGCAGCCAGGCGTGACTATTCGGGGAGGGGAGCGTGTCATGCTAGTAGTAGTGTTTCTTCTGATTTTGAAGATCTTGGCMCTAATCAAAGGTTAGATTTTGCAGATCCCTTTAGAGGATTACTAGACTGAAATYCTTTCTAACCTTCCTCATCATTTGCTGAAGAAAATCTTAGGAGAATCATTCTACTGAACATCTTCAGTCTGGAAGTATGCCTGGAATTGCCAAGCTTGTTATTTTCCTGGGGAACTGTTTGATTCTGACTAGACTTGGAAAAGAACATCCTTTCACTGGAGTATCCCTGGTGCTCCATACAAGCCTACACTCTAATCCCAGCTCACAGTTCCCCCCAAGCTTACTTACAACACAACATGGTCTAAGTAAGCCTTTGTTTGGGGAGTTTCCTACTTACATAATGAAATCAGAAAGTAGTAGAGCATAGATTTGGGCTGAATTTAGGAACAGATGTTTGGAGATAGTCTCTTGGTCAAAGCAWTTTTTCTATCCCTGCTCCAAATGTGAAGAACAATTGATAGGAACAATATGAAAAAACAATCAGAGTCTGAGGCCATATTTTCTCCTGTTCCTACTGCCTGATTTTTCTTCAGTCTCTTCTGCTTTTCTTCTGATATTGTGCAAAACATAGATTCCCAGTCCACACTGTAAAAAGGGATTCTTCTTCCTCCTACCCCTCCACACAGCCCTGCTCATTCTGAGACACTGCTCTTTGGTGGGAAGAGTCTTGCTGCATTTCTTTTAACCTGGATCATTTTTCCCCATCTTTTTTACCACAAAGCTACAGTAACRCTTAGAAATGGTCTAGTAGATACAGGAGGGGTGGAAATAAGTGCCTGAACTAAATGCTGCTTAAAATGGTGTTGCCGCTGAAGAAATGTGTCTGCAATTTCAGCCAGAGATAGGAAAAGGAAAGTCCTGCACCTCCTTCTTCTGCTCACGGCATGTAGGCTTGCAGCCAGGCTCTGGTAGGGAGAAAAACTATCATTTGAAAATGTTGCCTTCCAGAAATACATGGATAATTAATAGGAGTTTGGACCTCCTCTATCATGAAATACAGAGAATTAAAGACATTTGATGCTGCCACTTTTGTTTCTCATCTGTTTGAATGAAAAGGGCAAGAACACAGTCTGTACTCTGTCAGGTTCCCATAGTGGTTTCCATACTAGGACAGTAACACCCCAAAGCTTTACCTGATTCTGCTCTTTTTATGCACCATCTCATTCAGTGCAGCAGTGGGATAGCAGGCCCAGAACGTTGRTGCTGCTTTTGATAACACAATCAGCATCTTACAGTGTACTAATATGACTTGTACCTGGGGTGCCAATGCCTCTATTGTAAGGGAAGGTTTAGTCCGTCTGTCAGTAGACTAGCTCTTCAAGACCTGGTGCTGGAAATCTGATTCTATCCTCCTATACATTAATAAAATCTCATTGGGAAGACTGAGGCCTCTTCARCTGGACATGTGTTCCCAGGAGCTGCTGTAGGAGGGAGCAGGGTGTTCTGTGCCAGTCAGGGTGGATGTCCTGGCGCCATAACAAATGGCTGAATCCTGAGAACATGTCAAAGGCAGGRCAGTATCTGGGTGCTGTGGAGAGTGGTGGGGGGAGCTCTGTTGGGAGTGGCATATACTGTGAACAGCACACAGCTTGGCAGGCACTGGCCAATTGTGCCTGGGAAATGTGAGATGCCACCACCCCAGGGCTACCAATGAATGAACTGAGATTCATTAGTTACACCAACACCTTCTGCTGCCTCTGCAATGGGGTCAGGCACCTCCAAGGAGGGCTCAAAGGGGGTGTTAGCATGTTAAAATCCTGCAGTGAGTTCTGTCAGCCCTCATGAACCCAAGACCAGTGCTTCCTGACTGCTTTGTGCTTACCCTCCTCAGAGGATACTCTTCCTGCTCTCTCTGCAAGCCCAAATGCCAYCCAGCTCTTGAGGGACTGCTGGCAMAGGCCTTTCTCCTTTTCYTACACCCAGGAGTGTCTCCTGTCAGGCTGATTGCCTCCCAGCAGATGGCAAGCGCTCATTGCCGATGCACCCAATGGCAGCAGCGCTCCTCAGCCTYGACAGCTCCTCTCTTAAGGGACAGAGTGTCCTTGTACCACGGGAGGAGATGGTGGCCTGCAGGGCCATGCAAATGCTCTGCAGTGTTCTCACGGTTTCCTCCTGCATGTCTAGCCAGGAGGTAATCCSATGTAAACAAAAAGATAGGAGCAGGTTCAGGAAAGCTTCTTCCTGGTGCCCTAWATGCCAACTGAGTACTGGCATCAGCTTTGCCAAACCCTGTTGAGGAACCTCAGAAATACCTAGGGAGACACAGCTGTGCCTGCAGTGGGCTATACAAATACCTGGGAGCTGCAGCTGTCTTGGACACCACAGAAAAGGACAGTTTTTCTTCGTAYCAGAGAAGAGAAACCCACTATTTCAGTTCTAGAGCAATCATTATTGCACCAAACCTTGGCTAGGGTTCCTGGCTGGTAAGGCAAAAAATCAGAGCAAGATCTGTCTCCCTAGTTCGCTTGCCTGTAGGAAGGTATCATACCTGTAACTAATTTGTCCTTTTCCCAGCCCTTGGGCATTGCAAAGAGAAATGGAAATGGCTGGTGGGGTGATTTTTCCCTGGATGCCACCCAGGCATGGCCACACTCAGGCCAGTGTTGTGTGCCTGGAGGCTGGGTGCAAGAAGGTTTCTCGGTTGATGTGSAAGTGCAAAGCCAGGCTGCTCAGGATGGTTCCTGCCCCTGCACTCTGCTGGTAAGTGCCTGCCCTCCAGCAGCTCCTCTGACTATCACCCTGCCCCACATGTGCACCCTTGCAGCTGGCCAGGAACTGTCTGGAGACAGCCAGAAGCTCAGCTGGCAGGAGTCAAGGTAACTGCTCCCCTCAAAGGCAAGGGCACCRGTGATGACATGTATTCCCAGGAGTCTTCATTAGAAGTGTCTAAGTCTTCCTCCTGCTCTGAAGTGGCTGCTGCAGGTTTCTTTGATCCCTCTCCCAGACCTATAAACTCCAGGCCTCCCTCTTCTGGACTGATGCCCAGGACTTTCATGTATGTGCTCAGAGTAAAAACTTTCCCCCAGGAATTCTCCCGATTTTTTATGCTACCCCAAGAGCTTGATCTTATCCCTTCTAGATCAGTGTCACAGACAAGAAACAGGGAAATGCTGCTGCCTAGACCTCTTGGGATAGGAGGGAACCAGCTAGGGAAATTGCACCCAGAGGTGTCTGTCTTTGGGAAGGCAAACACTTGTGGTGCTGGCATGGGAAAATGGGTTGCTTTCTTGCCCCAGCTAGTCTGGAGCACAGGAGACTCCCAATTCTTCCTCTACACTTCATGTACAGACTCATACATTTTGAGAGAGGAGCCCGACTAGCATTAGTGCCAGGACATTTTCAGGGACAAGGGAGGCACCAGTGGGGTGAGGGAATTACCCACAAGGGGACACTACAATCCTGCCAGCATCTCAGTAGGGTCATTTTAAGGTTTCTCCATCTTGCTACGTGTGCAAGTGCTTTGGTCTGCTCTGCAGGACACGTGATGACATTATTTGTAATTAATCTCTCCTTGTCTGCCTTGTGGTAAGATTTGGAGGCTTTGCCCAGGTGACACTGGATCTGAGGAAGGGGGCCCTTTACTCTGTTTTACTCCCTGTGAGCCCAGTTTCTTGCTGTAGTCTCACAGCCCCTGAGGTGCAGGTATTGCAAGACAGGGAGACTCAGAAAATGGAACATAAAATGACATAAAGAGGTCAAAGCTAGCAAGTTCAGAAAACTTTCTACAATGCCTTCCTTTCTCTGTGTGAAAAGGTTGGTGGCAAGCCCTGCCCTGTTCACCGTGCCCGCGTGTGCCCRTGCACGGGTTCATGACAGGTAGCGAGTATTTTCATCAGTCTCTGAATTGTCAGTGATGGGGATTTAACAAAAGGGGAACTTCCAACTTGGGTATTTGCTCTTCAGGCCCAGAAACATCTCCTGGTCTTGTCCTGCTCTATCTCAGCAGGCTCTGGGGTGGGCATGGTCAAATCTGAGATTCCTTCCTCACAGGAGTTTGCCTTCTCTACATTGAGTGCATCTTTGCTCCCTCCCAGGGCCTGCAAAATGCACAAGCTCTGCTCTGTACTTCCCCAATGGTTTTGTATCCTCAGAACACACCATCATCTTATCCTCCTGGTTCAGCCAGGAAAGATGCTCAGAACTCCTGGGAGTCAGATGGTGCTCAGGACCAGGACTTTCACCTCCTCTCAAGGACTGGAACTGTTTCCCACTCTCTCTTCAAAGTACATAGGTGATATCTATATTAGCAAAAACCCCATGGACCTTTCCCCAACAATGATGTGGACTGGCACAGAACAGTCATGTCTACTGAGCTCTTTTATCCTTCAAAACATGGTGGTAAGGTGCAATCTGTGTATTAGGAATGGTATTTGGCACACCTTGACTCCCTGTTCTTCCCAGGAAATTGTCAGCAGAGAACTAGGGGCCAGGGCTGCTCTAACAATGTTGCTGCAGAGAATATCAAGTGCCAGTGACCTAGGAATGTACCTGACACTTTCACTTTTCCAATCAGGACTAGTCTGAAGGCTGTCCATCCTTTCAGCCAGTCTGTACTGGTAGGCTAACCCTGCTAGCAGGCCTTCAGTTCTGGTACTGACCTACAGCCTCTCATCCTTACCCTTTAGCWCCACGCGCTCCTCTCAGCAAAGCTGTTTTCCACACATCTCTTCCTCTCTTTCACTCTGAAACATCACCACACTGCAGTGTCGTGSTCCAGCTGTCCTTCTCCTCTTTGGTCCATCTATAACATTTGCTTCCTATCCATAGTGCCAAACCCCACCAGCTGAGGGTTTTGGACTCTACCTCATGCCAGTGTCCTCACTGCAGGAGAAGTTGTTCCTCCAGTACARACCCATTGTAAAAATATAGAAGAATTTCTTCCTTATTTTCCACTGGACTTAATTTAATTAGGCCTTGCTCCTGCCCCCTTTCCTCAGAAGATTACCACACTGTAGGCTACAAGCAGACACTGGAGCATCTCCAGTGCCTAAGAACCAGCAGCTTCCAGTAAGAGATTGATCTAAGATTAATCTCAGATCCATCCTGAGATTCTAGCAGGGGATGCTGGTGCCAAGCACCAGGGAAGACTCCAGTTCTGTGGATTTTTTTCAGCTCTTCTGTAAGGATTGTCTCACGCTCACCTTCCATGTCTTCCCTCATCTCATCTCCCCTCTTTTGTTTGCACAAACCTTCCAAGGAGCTAAAGGACTCTCAAATGACTGCATACTCCACTGCTACATCCTTGCTGCAGCACTTTGCTGTTTTTCCCATTTCAGGTGTCAGCTAKGTCAGGCAAGGCCACCTCTTGTGCTGTAGTCTGCAAAAATCTTGCACAGCAGAGCCATGATCTTGGCAAAAATCCTTACGTGCTAATGTAAAGCAAGTAAATAATCATTCATTGTTATTTTTATGTATCTGTGAGTCATCTTTAATAGGTCTTTATACTATTACAGTGCTGAGGACAGGCTGAAATTAGATAAGAGTACACACAGCTGGCATCTATTCCCTTGGAAACATAGGTAAAAATCCATTTAATACCTCTCCAGTGAAAATGAATATTCATTAATATGACACAGATGTATACTTGATTTGAAAATAAGAACAGTAATTAAAGAGCTATTAAGGTTAAAAAGCAACAAAGGAAATTCAGCTACTGAAAGAGCTGTTCTGGGATCTGCTTCTAACCTGTCTGTGCACGGGTAAGCACARGCGGCCTGAGATTTTTCACTTGATTATTTTACATATGGGCAGACTGTGGGTTTTACCTTCTCTCCCCAAACTCTGCCATCTGGAARTGACCTGAATTCAGAGTTCATTTCTCCTGCTCTCTTACCGAGCAACTGTGCTCCGCTGAGGGGCTTTGCTCTGTCTCATTGGCTGCTCCAGGGTATTGAACCAACAAGAAGTGAAAGGGAAACTTTCTGCATGCTTTTGGGAAGGAAGCTATTTTAAAGTGATCATTTATATTCATTATTTTTATTAAAAGAGCCTTGGGGGTCGCCAGTCATGATAGCTGCCTTGCTGTAATCTCTAAAATCTCCATCCTAYTGGCTGTGACATTAAAGTTGAATTTTTTAGAGATGTTTCACAAAGATTCCTTTGCAGGGGTGACTTGCAATCGTGACCCGAGCAGTAAGCACACAGAGTTGATATGGATGAGTCAGGAGAGAGGTATTGGTTCTGCTGTGCGTGGAGGGGGGAAGATGGAGCAGATGTCTCCAAGGGCAGTGAACACTGCAGGACTGAGCGGTCCCACTGCTGATCACAGCCAGGGCAAACCCTGTGCAATTTCACCCACTGTGTGCCGGTGGCTGACCTGCCCCGCTTCTCCTGCTGCAGGCAGAAGCCGCAGGCTCTCAGCAGGGCCGTGTCCCGCAGGAACAGGGCAGCGGTTGGGAAATAGCAGCCACTCCAGAAAAGAGAAGTGATACAGGCATCCTCCAAMCGCAACTGTGCCGTGCATCACCTGTTCCCTTTCTGGGAAGGGTCTAGTGGTTGGTTATTCCACTGAAAACATCAGGGCAGAAAATGAAGCAGACCAGGAGGAGAGGCAAACCATTGTTTTAA